GGTATGTCAAAACCCGTACCCGACCCGACCCATTTACATCCCTATCAACGGGTCAAGTTTTACTACAACTAGTAAGCATCCCGTGCGATGCACGGAAGGTTTGTACTTTAAAATATTTTTTAAAAATTTTAAATTAATATTTGCCCATCGAACCATTTATATTAATATAAATAATAATTTAACACGTTTATTTATTTTTAAATACATAAAAATAATATCTATTTATTTTTTTCATCATAATATTCAAATATTATTTTATTTTAAAACGTATTGTCATGTAATGTCATTATTAGTATTTATAACATTATAAGAGTAGTATTTTTATATATAATAATTATTAATGTATATTAATATTATTTATTGAGCTTATTAATTTAAAAATACATAAATAAATGTACAATAAATATTGTGTCATATATGCACTCTTTTTAATTTTTAGAATTTGTCGTCCGTCATAATAATTAAAAAAAATTATAATATATATATATGATTTTATGAATATATTAAATATATTAAGCATAAAAATAAATTAGTAATTAAACAGTATTATCGGTGAATTACAGATTAATATATAAATTATTATAATGTTAATTAATATATATTTTGTAGCATGTTGTATTGATCGAAAATATATGGAAAGGATATTGAAGCACATTGACCGAAATTATGTGGGAAGATATATTCGAGCACGTGAGTTATCTCTTCTAAGAGTTATCCCATTCCAATAAATTCTCATTATTTAAAATTTGAATTCAAATATGACTTTTATTCTACCGTTCTAGGAGTTATCCAATTCCAATAATCTCTCACTATTTCAAAATTTGAATTCAAATATGACTTTTAATCTACCGTCCACATATTTTAATCTCAGTGTGTTATAAAAGCTTTCAAGAATTCAAAAAATAGAATGTCAAACTTATTATTTTTTGGTCCAAATTTTCTAAAGAGGTTTATTCCAACAACCTTTTTATATACAGATAGATTACTTGAGATGCGTTTGGATAACTTAGACATTAATTAAGGATGACAAAAGAAAAAAAAAGGGTTAATTGCGTACAAAATCTCAACATTTTATTTACTTGCAAATAAAACTCAACTTTTTCAATTTGACAAGAAAATACCAAACTTTTATTAAGTGTTGCAATTTTATCTTGCCCGCCG